TTTTTTTTTGGGCAATGAAAACAAATTTTACGGACAATTGTAAAAAAAAAAAAAAATTCCTTTAATGGACAATTTTCATAGAAAACAAAACCAAACGAACACCAAAAAATCCAAAATTTCAACATTTTTCAGGTGGAAAATTATACCAATCAAACACAATTAATTGACAATTCCTAGAAAAACAATTCTAGACAATTGAATTTCCTGAAATTCATTTTCGTTGCACCTAAATTTTACTCTTGCAATCAAACATACTAAGAGCTCTTTGACAAGACTTTTAAAAAGTCAATTAAAAGGTTGTATCTGAGCCTTGTTTGAGCCCCATTTTAAGAGAGAAAAATACATTTTTGAATAGTGATTTTTGGGGAATGTGTGGTTAAGAATTAAGAATTTTTTCGATTTACGTGTAATATTATTTTATTGAAAAATGTATGGTTGAAAATGAGTTTGAAAAAAATAGGACTCAAACAACTCATGAATCTATTTGGATAATTTTTTTGAAGTGATTTGTATGGCAATAAGGGTGCGTTTGATTGTAATGGTGGAAAATGGGTGTAAAGAAAATGTTTTGTAGGGAAAATTATTTCAAGTGTGTTTGATTGGTCATTGATATAATTTTTCACCCGAAAAATTTTAAAATTTTGGATCTTTTTGTTCACGTTCATCAAAGTTTAGTGTTTGTTTGGTTTCGTTTTATATGAAAATTGTCCACTAAAGGGAAATTATTTTTACAATTGGTTTGAGTTTTGAAAAAATAAATTTTCAGAAAAATAGGACTCAAACAACTCCTGAATCTATTTGGATAATTTTTTTGAAGTGATTTGTATGGCTATAAGAGCTTTTAAAGGAAGTTGAGTTAAGGTGTCTTTATCAAAAAAATTTTCTATAAAAATTAGAAGCAAAAACAAAAACTTTGTCAAACAGATCCTAAATTTATAGCTCCATTGGCTTTCAAGTTATTCAATTGGAAAAAAATGAAAAATTGATCTTCCAAAAAAAGGTGACGTAACATATTACAATAAGTGGTGTAATAAATTTTGTAACTAACAATTACTCTCGTCATCTATTGTAGTGTACCATATCATTTGAGTGCTTAGCATAAGCCAGACATCGCATCGGATCGGTGTTTAATCAGTCCAAACTTTTCAAATTTGGCACAAATGAATCATCAAAATATGTCTAGAAAATGGATAAGATTTTTTTATAGAAAGTAGAGAAAAAGAAAGGTGAGGTTCATAAATCATCATCGAGTTAAAAATAAAATAAAATTTGGCCAAATAAAAAGTGTGAATGCATTGACGATTATACCCTTCTAGGACGAGGTGGATATCTGGATTCGTAGCGGAACATCGTCGTCTCCCTCGATCAAGTCCAAGCAAAACACCCAGTTTACAGTCCCAATAAATCTAAGCCATGAAATTGGCTTCCTCACTTCACAATAGTACAGTTCGAACCCCATTCACTTTCGACTTTAATTTGCACAGAGCTTCCCCAATTTCATGCCCCAAAAATGCTCGAGTTCGATTTTCTCTTCGTCGCTCTCACCCCCTTTATTCAGGTAAAGATAGAGTTTTTTTTTTCTTTTTAATGCTTTCTGATTAATGTTTTGTGTATGGGTTGTTTAAAGGTGTTTGCGACTGTGGTCGGAAGTATCCTTATTATTCAACAATTTCCTGCGCAAGAAAAACTGAGCAGGAGCAAGAATCGTCTACTTCAGGTAACAATGTTAAATTAGAGAGCTATTCTTTCATTCATAGTTTTGGAGGGTAAGCAGTTATAGAAGACTGTGTTTTGGTAAATTATTTCTTTGACTTGCTCGCAGTGATCCGTTTCGGACATGTAGATATCAATTCAGCGCTGTATATTTTTTTTGTTAATTTAATTTTTATATGGTAAACATAGTGTAATTGGGGCTCCGTATAGATTCATAAATAAATGGTTGATTTCCATTGCATTTAGTGCATTTTTGGTATCTCGTAGTAATTTTCATTTTATAACTATCATGAATGCTTAAAATATTTTCTTGCGCCGAGCTCTCTGCATATGTATTCTGAATGTATTGACACCATGGAATTCGATATTGGACTGCGGGGGGAAACTGTAGTGGAGAATGCAGAATGGAGACCACTGGTTACTTCACTTTTTAGCATCTATCAAATAGAAACTCAATTTTGGATTTTCTTTTTCTAATATAGTTGGACATCAAAATAATCAGAAGGTAGTAACTTGTAAAATTCAAAATGCTGTCCTCACATTAGTTTGGAGATACATTCATCATCTTTCCCTCATGGAAAACACTAGTGTATGTTTTGCTTAACGTTTTTCTTTGTCAAACTTAATGGGAACGAGGATAAAAGGGTTAAAAATTGCTCAAATTTGGCTTTTGAAGAATTATGTACTTCGTGTGAAATGAGGACAAATGGTTGCACATCAATTGTTAAAGATTGTCGTGGTTGGTGAACTAATTTTGCAGAGGCAAAGACGTCAATTTCTCCATCACATGATGGTTTGAATGGCGTTGATAGCTCAGAAAACATCTCTTCCATCAGTAATTCAGAGGAGAAAGATGCAAAGACTGTAGATTATGCCTCTTCGCTGAGAACTGTAGCCTTATGCGTATGTGCTTGTGCTCATATTTAAAGTTACATCTTGATTTTTACTTTCTATTCATGAATGCCCTAAATTCAAGTCAGTATAGTGTATTACTCCTGTAGGTGTTCTCAGCTGTGGCATTTGGTGTTGGTTTGGGTTTTAAAGATGGAGTTGGCAAGGCATCTGAATTTTTTGCCGGGTATGAGCATGAACATTACCAGCATCCTATATTATCATATGAAGTTGTGTTTCTGTGGCTCCACACAAGTTCTTTAAGCAGTAGTTGCATTTTGGCATTCTGGCACGTTACTAAGTTTCCTTAAAGACAGATAGAAGTTTGAACACTTAAGCTCTTGGGATGGTCAGTGTGATGAAGAAAATGTGTGCTGCGCCGCTTCTACATAAGAAACTATAATTAGATGGAATCATTTGGTTTATTTTCATTAACTAAAATTTTTAGTGTCCTTGTTAGACACTAAGAAGCTATAAGTGGAGGGAATTGTTTGGTTTATTTGCATTAAATAAAGATTCTAGTGCCCTTTTTAAACACTTCCTCCTGATGGGAAAATCCAAAATACAGAACTTGACTTGCAGCTCTGATTTCTGTTTTGCCTAAATTTAACATTATTCCCTTGGGATCAATAGTATTTTGTCTCTATGTGTTTCTGACACATTTGAGAATGTTCTCTTTCTTTAGTTTGAAGATAGGATTTCTTACCATCCTTACAAACGGTAAAGCCGAACTTATGTTGAATTAATTGTTTGAGTTTATACTTATGTTTCATAGTCGGCTTTTTCTTATTACCCCTGTTCGGTTCAGCTAAAAAATTGGATTAAAATCTAAAATTATGTTTGATCCCCATTTTTGGGATATAATGTATCATAGAATAGTAATTTTTGGAGAATGTGTGATTAAAAAGTAAGATTTTTTGGAAATACGTGTATAATTATTTTATGGAAAAATGTATGGTTGACAACGAGTTCTGAAAAAATGGGGCTCAAACAGGGTCTAAGTCAAAGTCTACAATTAAAATATTCACATTTCATAGAACCCACAACTTTTGAACCACGCATTCCATCAACTTTTATCAAAATCTACTAAAAATTTAATTTTCATCTAAACCAAATTAGGGCATTATTATTATTTTTATTTCCAAGATGATTACTATATCAAAATGAACTTTTCTATTCCATCTTCAGTTCTGGTCTGATTTGTGCATGATTGTGATGATTCATTTGTTTTCAGGTACCTACTTGAGCAGAGTTTATCAGTGGACAATCTATTTGTCTTTGTATTAATATTCAAATATTTCAAAGTGCCACTTCAATATCAGGTGTATCATCAAGCTTTTATACTGTGTATAAGTTCAGCAGTTGGTGCTGTAAATTCTTGTTTACTTTAATAAATAGATGCTGATGGTTTAACTATCATTTATCTTGTTTGTTGGTGGAAATCCATATCATGACGGAGAACAGAATCGAGTGCTCTCTTATGGAATCGCTGGTGCAATAATCTTCCGATTGACATTGATACTTCTTGGCACAGTGACTCTTCAGGTCACTTCCATATTATGGCGTGCACGTATATGCATGCTCGTATATACATATAGATATAAAGATGAATTGAATACCGTATACTTGAACACATTCAAACCATTCCACCTTTGCTTTCTTTTATTTTACAAGTTCAAGCAATTGTTTTCTCATGTCATGTTTAGAGGTTCGAGGCAGTGAACCTACTCCTGGCAGCGATTCTACTCTACTCATCGTTCAAGGTGCTATTCCTCTCTCCTCAGTACATGTAACTCAGTCTTTTGCTTTCATTGGCACGTTGTGCTCTTCAAAACTTGGTGGAGATTCAGTACACCAAAATGGTCCAAATTTGTGGAGATCAAGCATTATTTAAATTCAGACATGAGCAAAGAAAATATCATTTCCAACTTGCTGGTCTAGTTTCTAAGCTGGTCACATCTAATATAAAA